CTCCCCGTCCCCCGCGGCCCCCGCTGCGCAAGGCTGCACCGTCGCGCCGGCCCCTTTGTCAGGGGGCGAGCCTGTTGTTGTGGCTGCTGCTGTTCAGGATGTCCCGAGCTGGGAACTAGGAGGCGTCCTCCGCAGCCCAGACGGGCCTGCCCAGTACAGAAAGACAAAGATGTGGATAATGGTACTCACACTTAAAGCGGGGACCCTGGCCTACCTCTCGTATACACACACACCTAGTTCCAAAAAAGTTCAACGTAAAGAAACTTGGTAACGAAATTAAGGCCGGAAATAGCCTTTGTGTTCTAGCGTTCCCCTGCTCCCGCCCATCCTCAGCAACTCATCCCACCCTCACACGCCCCCTTCACAACGCATACCTAAAGCCTCCCTCTTCCTCCCTCGTCTCTATCCCCCAGCCCTACTCCAACCCACTGATGGGAAACTTTTAAGAAAATTCTGCGTAAAAAGAGCTCAGACGGTTAATGGTTAAAGCTGATGTAATTCTCAGGGGCTTTAGGGCAGCTCAGATTCACTTTATTTGGGCGGTTTTGTTCTACCTAGCATCAAGTCTGCTTAGTAACAGGAATCCTCTGAAACTTGTATCAGAGACCAGGTAAAGGGCAAGAAGAGTGTGGGATTGACACGAGCTACCATAGTAGTGTAAGGGGAGAGAAAATAATCATTCATATAGAAGGATATCTGATGCACGATAAGTGTTCAATAGTTTTATGAAATCAAGAACCTCCCAACTTTGACAACTAACAAGTGGCTGAAAAAGTAAATCACGAACAGCCTAATCTGACGGCTTTCAAGCTTTTTTTTTAAAAAAAAAAGAAAAGATGAAATATATTTTACAACACATGCCATAATACATAATTGAAGCTAAATTTCATAAAATCATACTTCCCTTACCAAATGCAATATACTATCTCAATTTCATGAACCGATTAATGACTGATTCAGTTCAAACCGTCAATTAATCCATATTAAGTCCCAGTTACATTTCACAAGTTCTGTTTCTAATAGTCTGTCATCTCTCCTTGATATATGACTTCCTGTTTTATGTCTGATCAAATCCTGAAAACTGTCTCAAATCTTTCTGGAGTTAGCATATTCATTATAAGTAATATCCTATTTTTAGTAACGATGTGATAGTGAAGGACCAGAAAAAGAGCACACAGAAAACCCAACCAGTATCACTACTGGAGGAAGTTCAGATTCTGGGACACACTGGTTCTCCTCAAATTACACTGCTAAGTAACCATCCGAGAGCCATAATTTCAATAAATGAGAAATAGAGAGGGTCTGGTAAATGGTATGATTCTTGTCATGAATTGAGAGGATTGCAGCAATTGAAGAAAAGTAAAATAAAAAACAATGCTTTAAAATTTCAGCTACTTTCAGAATAAAAAAAAGACAAAAATAATGGATCTAGCTCTTACTATGTATCTCTGTCAGGCACTTTCCTTACTACTTAAAGTACAAAATCTCACTTAATTCTCATAATAGCCCTCCATGTGGATTTCCTTCCTCCACTTTAAAGAGAAGAAAACTAAAGCTAAAAGAGATTAATAAACTTGCCTGAGGGTGTTATAGTACAGAAAGAATTTGTCTACCTAGCACTAGCAGAGCCAAACACTAAACACTTGAGTATTGCAGTGGAGAAATATTGGCTATTTTATTATGAATGGCACCATCTAGAAGAACGGGAAGCTAATGTTCAAAAGCCTGAAATCCCAGATAATGTGTAGGTTTCAGATTACATAGGGCAAAATTACAAGACACCATGGGTTAAAGGTTCGGAATCTTATTGGGAACTGATTGGTTGGAGGTGAATTTGTAATCGTGCAAAACCTCACTTCTTTAAAATGGTTTTTTTTTCTTTTCTTTCTTTATCCTTCCACCTCTGCACATACTGCACAACCACTCCCTTAATCACTGAGCCCTTAGGACTTCAGATTCTGGTCAGTATCAAACAGTCTTAGAAACAAAGCCTCATGTCTGTTGACCACAGAAACAGAGTTTTGGTCAAACTAAAGATAATATCTCGGCCTAAGTTGTGTTTCAGCTCCAGACCCAGGAAGGCACAATAACTCTACAGGCCACGGATAAAATGACACCATGACTGACATCAGAACCTGATACAATGATCAACTACCTCATACCCTAGCCCCAACCAATCAATAGGGCCCACAACTCCAGCTCCCTTAGCTACCATGACAAATGATTTTTCCCCTATATAATCTATCCATTAGAGGCCATTAGGGAGCCAGGTATGTGAGCACTAGCTCCCCTGTGTCTCCAGGCTTAGCGCCATTTTCTTAAATAATAAACATTTACTTTTTTGTAGCAAACTCCTGTCCATATGTCACTTGGTTTTGATGTATACAGGCAATCAAATCCCTTTTAGTTTGGGTAAGGGGAATGAATTATTTCTTCAGGTCTTGAGGACAGTTCTGAGGTCTTTTCCAGAGTCACTGTGTCCGGTCTCATGGGAAAGTAGCCAGGGGGGTCGTTCCACCTCAAGGCTCAGGAGCTGAAACATAACTTAGGTCAAGACGTTATCTTTAGCCTGCCAGAGGTCCGGATCATGTGATCATTAGTCAGGTCCAGGTTTCTGTTTTCTGCTACCTTCGGGGTTACTGATTATCCAAGGAAAAGGCTAGGTCTCTGAGGGTCTCTCTCTCTCTCGCGCTCTCTCTCTCTCTCTCGCTCTCTCTCTCCTCTTCCCCTGCCCATGTGAAACTGACACATAAGAGTTACATGAAGAGAGACTGTCTTAGAATGACACCAAGCAGCGATGAGAAATGGAGAGAAGAGATTGAAATCATTATGCGTGCTGACATTCAGCCTCGCCTGAAGCCAGGCAGGTCCTT